AGCATGAACTGTGGGGCATCAGGATTATACAATCTTCTCTTTGGGAAAAGAACAAAGGTCTTAATGAAACCAATAAGGTTTATCAAGAAGGACAGAAATCTGATTTATGGATTTAGGGAAGGAAGGGAGTTCATAGTTCCTAACTTATTGTGTTTCATAACTTCTCATTATAAGCATCCAAAGAAACCATTTTTAAAAAAAAATATACACAAGCTAAAGACACTAATTTACTTTAATTACAATGCAATTGAATCTCCCCCACAGAAATAAGATTGATTTTCCCCCAGCAAAAAGTTAAATGCCAGCTCATATTCATAAACAAATCTAAACAATAAAAATGGCATTCAAAAGTATACAAATTCATTTCCTTCCTTGACATTTTGTTTCACAGAAGAAAAACAAAAAAAATATGGCAATGCAAACCTGAGTGGAATCAGGGAAGAGAGAGCAGGAATTATTTCATTTCTTCTCTATTGAGAAGAATAATTAGTCCTGAGCTGTTGAAGGATGTGTCAGCCCCACAAGGTAGACTAGACCAAGAAATAAAATCAACTTCACAGGAAGAGTACAACTAATTTTATTGCAATCGGCTATAATAACAGAATCTTGCAAGTCTGACCGTGTTGTACTTTCAGTGAATTAGAGAGGTCTCTATCTGAGCAGCATCCAAAGAATATCTGGATATTCTAGACAAAAAAATGTTTTATCCCTTGTTGCCTTGGCAACAGAGCTTGCATATCTCCATCAAGGTCATCTTCCTTACTCTCTACAGGATGCTAATTCCTTTCTGTCCCTCAGTCCATTGACCACCAGGGCCAGCAACCATCTACTCAGCTGGCAGAATGGGGAACATCACTATGCTAAAGGCCTTCCTCCATCATCACTTTCCCTTTACTTGGGGAAAGGCACCAACTTTTTGACTGACTTCCTTTAGCAATCAATACTCATGTGTTCGGCTTGTGTGGTGATAGAGTAATTTCAGAGCAGAGAAATGGTAGGATGTTCTGTGTGAAAATAAGAGTTTTCACAGAACAACTGCCAGATAAGCAGAGGTATAAATGGCTGCCATTTTGTAAAGACACTTCTCACAGTGTTAGGTAGGATACATGGAGTTTCTGTTTGGAAGTGGGACCAGACTTATCATTCTCCCTGGTAAGATGGATTTTTTTATTTATACAATTTAACAGATTTTTTTGGCAAGTACGTTTGTGAGAATTTCACTTTGATTCATTTTGTACTTTCCCTATTGCATATATCTAGGTTAGGTGTTCATTATCTGCAGGGGGATAATTTCACTACTTTTACATGCTGATAATGTGGTGACTGGCTTCAAACATTATGCTAAGACATTGGGTTTTTGTGTGGTATGAAATCTCCATATTTGTTGAGTCTCAGCTCTAGGATTCTCAGCTAGCATGGACAGGTGGGAATTCTGGGCACTGCAGACCAACACATCTAGATGATTTAACGTAGAAGAATACAATGATATTATGATAAATATGCAGGAATTGGGCTCATCTGAAGACAGTTTTTATTTAAATTAGCACTGGGCCCATGCTTTGCTTCTTTAGTTAAGATGTCATATGTTTGGCAGCCTTCATTCAGTTGCTTTGAAAAATTGGGGGACTTCAATATAAGACAAGAAAAAATGGGAAGGATTTTATGTACGTGTATAATGGGCACATAGGACAGACATAGTTTTACATATTTTTAAATACAGCAAGTAAATGCAGTTAATTCCACGAGGCACATGTTTATAATGGGGCATAACCCTATGTGAAAATAACAGGAGATAGAAAGTTGAGGTTTGGGGCCATGATTCTCTCTAAATGACCTAACTACAAGATTGTTATAAAGGCAAGACAAGAACTCTTGCTGGTCAGGAGCAATGGGAGTTATAATTAGCATATCTAGAGGTCTCCTGATTGGAGAACATGGGTCTTGAACTGCCTTTCTTTATCTCCTGATTTTCAGGATAGCAAACTTCCCAAGGCAGCTTTCAAACTATAGAAAAGGTTGGAATTAAAAATATAATACAAATTAAAAAAAAACAAAAATAGTAGGTTCCTTTCTACAGGCAAGGTGATGGCATTGGTGGCGGTAATGGGGTGGTAATGGTGATATCCAACTGGAGTCGGTCTTGGTGATGGTCTCTGCCAGCTTTTGTCCTTCTCTTGAAATAGACATTTTACCAATATTTAGGAGTAAAAATGCTAACAAAATTCTACTTTATTAGATAAGTATTACATTTCAGTAGAAGGAAGAAACCTAAGGGTAAAAGGTTGAATTCAGATAGGTTATGAAATATAGTTGGGTCAGATCTTTACAAAAAGCATGCCATATTTTAGCTATTGGTTGGCAGAATAGGAAACTTACATAACTTCTGAAATAGGGAAAGTTAGGGGAGTCCTCTCTTAGGTAAACCATCATGCACAGTTCTAGGCATGTGATAAAAATATCATATGTTACTTCTTTATTTACAGAGGTCACATGAACTTTCCCCATTTCTTAAATATGGCAATGATGTTCCTTGCTGTCCCATAATAATACAAAAGAGGTTCTCATATAATAGGCAAAGCTTAGTATAGTACAGAATTTGGGGAATGTAAGTGCTTTTATGCTTGGTATAATGGAATAGCATTAATTCATCTCGACCGCATGCTACTCCTGCTTGAACCCATTGTGCACAAAAATATTTAACTGCATTGTTTGTAATCAATAATCTGGACTGTGAGGCTACTCTTCTACTAAAACTTTCTTTCCAAAATCAGTATTATTTGAATTTGACTTTCAATGGGCAAGAATACTGAATGAAGAATAAACAATGCCTGCATTCTAGATTTTAGAGTTTGGCCAACTCTGTACTCAGGACATGAAGTAGGGAGAACTGCATTAACATTTGTCACACACTCTCCTCCATTATTCACCATTTTAGGAAGAAAGTCTGACTCTTGGGGAGTAGAGCAAAGAACATCAGGAAAAGTTGGGCATATAATCATTGAGTTTATATGGATTAATCAAACCACAAATGGACAATCTGTGAATGTCCTGATATTGATAAACAAGTGCTCTTGGAATGGCCAACAGTTGGCCATATATACTGTCTGGTGCTTCTAGAAATTGAACTTTAGCAGTATCTGAAGGTCCACACGCTGCCCATCCTTAAGGACATTAAACTGAGATTATGAATTCAAACTGTGTTAAATAGTAGCTACCATTTTCTGGTAGTTCACACTAAGTATGTACAAAAGGTTCCATTGTCTATGACAGAAGGCTCCGGTGAACTTCAGGGTGTTCTGTTCTGACCACACCAATTCAGTAATTCTAGGGGTGTTCTCAGAAAATTCCAGAACTCAGATGCCATAACCCTAACAATGGAACATTTTGCACTTACCTAGTTATATTATCAAGGCACAACCAGTTATGCAGTCTAATGCATATAGACCTTACAATTCAGGAACTCTTACTGGAACCCTTGTATCCTTGGGTTTGATTCCTCTGTAGGGTGAATGCAAACTTGGGTCCAAAATTGGTGAAGATTTCTTTAAGGTTCCACTTTAGCTAATTCACTAAACCAAAAACAGCAGCAGGAAATAGCAAGAGATGATGCTGTTCAGATTGCAAGGTCTTAGTCATAAGAAGACAGCAGCAGATGAAGGCCCACAGGGAGGTGTGAACTTTGCGGGTTCTTCTCGGAAATTCATTTTGGAATGAAAGTTTTGCAAGAGCGTGAAGAAGTGAATAGCTTTGTCGCAAAAAAAAAAAAAAAAAGGTGCCCTAATGTGCAAAAGTCAAAATAGATGTATGTTGAGTTTGAGTGCTTGTGTTTGAATTTGAACTGTTTTTGTAGATTTGTGCATTTTTATATTGTTTTGCATGGATTTTCAGTGCCAGCTTCCCAGAGGGTCCATTTTGGTAGGAGCATGAAAGAATGACAAAGAGTCAGAGTCTGAACAGTTTTAGCAAAAGAAAGAAGGGAGAAAAAGGCAAAACTCCTGATATTGAATTTCATAACAGTTGATGCCTCAAAAGACAAAACAGCTGAACAAGGCAAAATGAAAACTTTTCTTGGGATTCCAGGTATAGGGATGCCTGAATGATGGATTCCTGTTAAACTATTTAGGAAACTCCTTAAATTCCAGTGAATATTGACATGCAACTTGGCAAGGCTGAATTTCAAGCAAAACAAGTCCAAATCGCCCTTGGGCATGTGGAATTATCTGCTGGTTCTTTAGATCCAGATCTATCTGTTTGCTTCTAGCCTTGCCAAGACAGCTTAAACTGTCCTCCCTTTTAGGCAGAAAGAAGAATCTGTCCACAGACTCTCCTTCCCTATTAAGCGATAAGTACCAACTTTGGGATTTCAGCACCTTCTCACTTTTGTCCAGGCTCAGAAGCTTAGCAAGGTCAAGCCTGATTAGTACTTGGAGGGGAGACCAATAGTTATAGGCTAGATTGGGAAGTTAGACTGAGTTCTCAAGAGCACATATGACTACCCAAAGCCTTTGGGTTCACTCCTGGACCTTCTCCAGAAATAGCCACCAGTCGTTAATTTGACAGGAGGGGGAAATTGAAAACTACATGGAAGCAGCCATTATCTGTTTGAGTTTAATTTAACTTGAAACACATTCAATTCAATTATATTTTCTTTTTATCCTGACCTTGTTTACTTTTTGTGGCACAACTCCTGGCATCCACTCAAAAGATAATGAGTGACTCATGATCCCCCCGTCCCCACAAAAAGTCGCAAACCTCTGATTTATATTGATTACTCTCTAGAATAACAGACAGTATAAAGAAAGCCAGGAAATCAGGACACATGCTCTTCCAGCAAATGATGATAACCAGGCTTAAAATTACAGATGTTTCCATAACTTCACATAACTAACACAGATGAGAAGATCCTGCATGCCCATTATTGCTGATACAACTTACTGTGTGTTTTCCAAGTTTTTCAGATCTCAGCTAATATTTTTGAGCAATGTCTGTTTTGATTGTAGATCTTACCGATTCAGAACCTTCTGTCTACCAACTGGAGGACAAAAAAGAAGGCAATGTGACTGCTTGCCTCGTTACTGACTATTCACCTAATCCCATTGGAGTGAAGATTAAAAAAACTGATTCAGATGCCGTATCATTCAATGGCTCTGTTGTTGTTGTGAAAGAAGATGACAGTGAAGGATCAGCCAGCCTTGGGGTTGTCCGTTGGGGCAAAGCTGATGACGAATTTCATTGCTCTGCTACTTACAAAGACAAAACCTATAAAGTTGAAGAAGGTAAATAGAGGATGAAAATACTTGCATTCAAACTGAATCGATATCTAAAATACAGCTTTCTTCTTCCAATCCAGTTTGGGGTCCAACGATTGCTGGTTTTGTTATGGTTCTTGAGGGCTGACTTGAATATTTTTGGACGTCTAAGTTCTCCTGTAGAAAAGATTATGATCACTTGGACCAGCAGACTTCCAAACTGTTTTGCAGAAAGAGGGGAAACAAACAGGGTTTCTTAGTTTATTGGGATGTATGTTTGTTAAATGTTTAAACTGCCCCAAATCCTTAGTTCCCTGAATTGTGTACAAATCTGTTGCCAAGTGACTGATTGATTGATTGATTGGTTGATAGAAAGAGAGTTATTTAAAAACAAAAATCAGTCCAAAAGGTATCATTTAATCTTCAGGTAAAAATAATAGCTGTAAATAGTAAAGATAACACACCGTGGGATAATATTCAATAACTCTCAGATGGTTTCTGAAGTGCTTGGGGAAATGATAAGTCTTCATCTAGCCTTCAGAAGACCATCAAGTGAGCTTATCTGTTGAAGATATTCTGGAAATGAGGTGCCACCATTAAAAAATCCCTTTCTCTTTATCCTGCCTCACTAAGTAGAGGGATAAGGTCCTCAGATGGATATCTTAATTCCAGGTACATAAATATAAAGGTTGTTCCCTCCTGTAGCATGGCTGTAGGACATCTACTTTATTCTTGTACTGGGGAAAGAGCCATGACACATGGAAAACATTCTAACTCCAGTCTTGTGTTTTATCATAGTCTTGCTTTTTATCATAACCAGTCTTGCTTTTTATCATAATCAGAATCATTAATGCTTTTTTTGTTTATTACAGAGAAGGGCAGCTGTTCAACAGGTGAAATGTCCACTACTCCAGTTTTCGAAGCAGGTAGGCCCACTGAAGATAAAAGCTCAACATCAATGAAAACAAGATGGAATAAAAGCAGAATGTTATGTTAAGACCTGCAAAGGCGTCTGCAGTGGGGTTTGGGGGGCTCAGAAAAGTTAAGATGGCACCTGTGAATGCCAGATCTAAGTCCTACCCCTTATTAACATGTGTTGCATGCCCAACACACATAAAAAAGAACAGGGCTTTGTGTGTGGCTGACATTGTGATTTTTTTACCCGCACCCCTCCACTGCAGAATAGTCTTCTGAACATGCAAATACACCCTTACTTGCCAAGGGTATTTTAATAGTTAAGGCAGGGGATAGCTGCCTTGGGGCCAGCAGGCACAGGGGCCCTGGGCTGCCCTTGCCTTACATGTTCAGTAGGCTTGGTCATAACGGAGGAGGGATACCGAAGGACAAAAGACCGTGTCCGTGTTGCTGCTCAGTCAATCAATCCTGCCTGCCACCAACCTTTGCTCCTTCCTCACAATGTTTGGATCACCAAGAGCAGGAGCAAGGAAGGGTTGGACTCATTACTGCACCCCACCTGAGTGATTGGCCTTGGGGTCCAAAGACCTTTATTTGTGCCCCTGTTCACCACTAATTTGTTTTTAAATTAGGTCTGTCAGGTTCAGCCCGAGAAACTCCACGAGACAGTACTGGAACAGCTCAGTTACTTTATTAGCTTGCACCTGCTAGA